AAAATTCTGATTTTGTCTCACAATTCAAAAACAATTAAAATATTTTCCCATGTGACATCCACCTTACTTTAATCTGAAACAGAAGCTATGTGGTCAGAGACCAACTCTTTGCATAGCATACTAAAACAATGTGTGTTCATTACCTGGAATTTTATAAAATTAACAATTTTAATAACTTTGTTGAGGGCCTTTTGTACTTCAGGTTGCAACTTTAATGCTGAAGCGTGGCACTGAATCATGCAGTGCATCCAAATTGCTGCTTGTGCCACTTTTCTTTATTCATACTGCAACCCCCTTAGTTGTCATTGATGCAGCCCCACAGTGTACAGCCCTGCCACAACCATAGCCCAGTTAAGGTCTTCATCCGCTATGAATTTACTGAGGATCTTGAACATTTCCTCATTGATTGTTTGGGTTGGGATTTCTTTGCAAAATAAAAGTTCTTCAACTGTTGTACCTGCTTGTACAAACCTTATGTAAACACAAACGCTGAGCCATATTGGCTATGACTGTGGATTTATCAAGCTGCAGTACAAAATATTGACTCTTCTTCACGTGTTCTATCAACTGGTCCTGAACATTTTACACAAGGTCATCAACGCATCGATGGATGGTATTATTTGACATAGGAAGGGTTTTCAGGAATGGCTGTTTGTTTACCCATCATAATTCTACATGTGGATTGCTGTTAGAAGTGGAAGGGTCTCATAAAAACCATTTTGGCTGCAGAATTCCAAAGAACCTGTAAACATACTACCTTCACTTTGTGTGTACATTTATATTGGGGATGTGATATACAAACCCATACTAGGCTAGGCAAAAAGAGGTTAATGGCCTGTCCTGGAGACAAGCTTAAATCAGCTCCACCATCACAATCCTTTGCCAGAAATGTCAAGCCAGGAGGGAGTGCATGGCAGCTGCAGTTAGTAATCAGGAGGGAATGGGCTAGAGGGGAGAACATACAGCCCTAGAAGAAGCTTAGTAAGCAGATCTGGAGCCTACAGCAAGCTGGTGAGATGAGAGGCCTCCCTGGGGAAGGGAAGGCTTAGTCAATGGAATGTTAGACTACTCTCAAGGAAGTGACCAGAGCTCACTGAGGAAAAAGTAAAGCCTAGATACAGCCTAGGTTGTTTTTACTTCTGGGCTTGATCCCATCCCATATCCACCTTGGTCAACAGTTCTTTGTTGACTGTTTTACTAGTTTTGAGTTGAAGCATGTCCTACTTATGGGCCCCAACTGTAATCAGCTGGTACTCTACTGCTGTGACACCCACGTATGAGCAATAAGATTAGCTATGAATACCATTTGAGGCAGAAAGGAAGAGTTCCCTAGTGTCAGCAGCAAAGGAAAATGACTGGCAGAAGATCAGACCCAGCATCTCTATTTTAATCTCCAGATTGAGCTCTTATATTGTGTTGACTAAACAAACATCAGCAAGACAAAACAACCAGCTCCTTGTTCTAAAAGGCTTGAACTCCTCCAATTCGTTAATGCTATTGCATTTTTGAGCCATCCCAAAACGGAAATGTATACATATATCAAACCGCACCACCGTATAGTTACCATTAACTTAACTGTACAGGTTTCAGATGGAGATCTAAAAACACTCTACAAATGACCTAGAGTAGTTTTTCTATATATGAAAGCATGACAACTTTAAAGTCCAATATTTCAGCCGATTCCTGGGTTAGAGCTTCAGGAACCCTTAGGAAAGCACTGTCCGCTGGTACCATGAAAGCAGCCTCTTATGGCACCTGTTTGGAGCCAGGGCTATTAAATGATTGTATAGCTTCAACTCCTCAATTCCTTCTGCTAAATCATACAGCAGTCTATTTCAGAGACATCTTGTGTTGTCCCTGAATTCTGTGACTGATATCTGCTAGAGAATTCTTTTTTGACAACTAGATGTAGGGCAATGGGATTTACTCAGTAAACCACATATCTGAGAATAGCTGAGAACAAGCACCTCCTTATCCACTGATGTAAGAAATAAGCATTTGAACCACACAACTCTTGATCAGTGGTGGAAGAGATTTCTTAGATTATCTTGTATGTATATCACATGACCACAATAGATGGGAATACAGGAAAAAAGAGATCTAATATCAGCACACCAAGTTTCCAAAAACAGAAGGTTGTGGGGATTTTTGGAGGAATGCTCGAAAGTGTTCCCATATCCTTTACATCTACAGAATTGCCACTTACCAGTGTTGTAGCGGCATGAATTTTAAAGAAGATGGAGGCATCAAGTTTATGAAATATGCATTAAAGTATTAGAAAACCGGTCTGATAGTGATAGATTCAAGGAGCTCAATGTATTTAGCTTAACAAGAAGGTTAAGGGGTGACTTGATCACAGTTTATAAGTACCTTAACTAGGGAACAAATATTTCATAGTGGGCTCGTCAGTCTAGCAGACAAAGGAACAACAAGATCCAATGGCTGGAAGTTGAAGCTAGATAAATTCAGATTAGAACTAGGGCATGAATATTTAACAGTGAAGGTAACTAACCATTGGAACAATTTACAAATGGTCATAGAGGATTCTCCATCACTGGAATTTTAAAATCAAGACAGGATGATTTTGTAAAAAGACATGGTCTAATTCAAAAGGAATTATTCTGGGAAATTTTTTGGCCTGTGTTATGCAGGAGGCCAGATTAGATTATTGCAATAATCCCGCATCCAGCCTTGGAATCCATGACCCCATCAACCTCAGGTAGAATCTTAGAGTCCTCTAGTAATTTTCTCAGAAAAAAAGCTAGATTGGTTGGAAGGCAGCATAGAGTGGAATTGGATTGCATAGCCAAACTGACTGTCAGATCCATAGTGATTCTACTCCATGCCCCAAGGAAACTTCCACCATACTCCAAGATTAAACAGTTCACAAAGAAAGAAGAGGAAGGGTGGAAAGTAGATGTTAACACATGCTCTGGATTGTTGGGCATAAAATCAAAGCAGACCTATTTTGATGTGCTTCCCACTACCCTGATAACAAGGTTGCTGTTTTAGACACTGCAGATGGAAACCAGTACAAGAAGGATAATGCCCTGGTACTGGAAGGCAGGTGATGTGAAGGACTTCTTCCTCTGACAAAGTTGTAGGAGCCTCAGAGACTAACATTCTTCCCTAGCATCTTGGCTCTGAAGAGATGCTACCCCTCTGAATTGGAGATTCTTTTCATGAACCTGAGCATCATATGAAAAAAAAAAAAGCCTGATGACTTGAAGCAAGACTAACAACTGAAACAGTTGACCCCACTGCCCAATATTTTGGAAGCATTGTAAGTGGCTTGTAAGACAACTGGGTACTACACATCCTATAGCCACCTGCTCCTTTGACGTCATTTTCTGTTCCTCTGGAAAGTGATACAATTAAAATATCACCAACTCCCAAAGCTGGAATTGGTATCTAACCATAACTGCACGGTAGTTGGCAGGATGCTTGAGAAATAGTACTCCCTCTCCAAAAGGTCACCCTGTTTGTGATCCTCGTCCGCCGAGTAAGCTCAGCCCATCTTACTTTTTCATCCTTTCATTAGCTGCTGACATTTCCAATGAACCAGGAGCAGGAAGAGACTGGAATCCCTGCCATAGCGACTGATATAGCAGTGAAAAAGCAAATCCCAGAGTCCAGGTCCCAACCCCAACCCTGCCTCTAGCCCCGGGATATTTAGGGGCTGTTACCAAAATTATCTTAATAAATCTCTTTCAGCAGCTGTGTGGGAGAGAGGTTGTTTCTTGCGTAAGTAGGTACTAAAGGGCACAGGGATTTCTGGCTCAAAATCAATTACTAGAACTACTGCCACAAGAAAAAGCATCTATTATATTTGCCAACAATTAGTGCACATACATACTGCACTAAGCAAAACTTCTGCATGATTTTTCAGGAATAGCTCCCAGTTAGAGACAGAGTAACAATTCACTCCAGAGATATATTAGCAATTCCTTAACAATACTTGCACTAATATAATTTACATCTTTAAAGTTTTGTGCAGGCACTAGATAATGTTAGTTGACTGCCTACGAACCCCAACTTCCTCTCTCCATGTGCTGGTCATTTTTCACATTGATTACTGTGAGCTTCTCCTCTCTGGCCTCACTGCATCTCAGCCTACCCTGGTCAAGTCTGTTCAAAATGTTGCTTCTGAAGTCATCTCCCTCTCCTCCCATGTCACTCCCATCATCACCAGATCAAATTCAAGCTTCAGTCTCACCTAAAAGGCTTTACCTAAAAAGTCCCTATTTACTTTTCTCCTGTGCACTTCTCCTTTTCTTCCCCTTGTTCTTCTCATTCATCTCTTTCCTGACCTTTTCTCTCTCTCTCTCTCTATGTTCCTAGATCTCTCATTTGCCCCATACCTAGAACGTTCTCCATGTCCTTGCACTCTACAAACCTTTGCTCCCCCTGCATGGCCTCAGCTATTCCTCCTTCTTAACTTTGCTCAGTCACAACCCCGTCAATATTCCTCTCCTGAATTATCCTGTGTCTTTCCCTCTTCTTCAGATGTGCTCTCTGGCCTCAAACGTATCTGTCCGGGAAGTGCAGGTGTAGAGCACTTCACAGCTGTTTCATTAGATGGGCAGGGCCGGGCGGGGAAGTCTGCGCTGCTGCTGTCAAGATGTGAGCGCCGACAGAGCCACCCACCAACGTGCATTGTATTTATTCCCCGGCAAAGACCTGTCAACACGAGCACGCGTGCATCTCCCAGCGCCCACACGCGACGCGTGGACCCTGCCTTCCTTAACTAAAAAGCAACGCTGCGAACGCTCAGAAAAGCGGGAGCGAACGAGAAACACCTCCACCCCCTTGCCCGGCTCCTTTCCGAGGCCAGGCGGAGTGCGGGAGCCGCCATGTCCCCGTGCCGGGTGCCCCCTCTCCAGCCGCCCGCCCCCTCCGCTCTCCCATCCTCTGCCCTGGCCCGGCGGGGGGCTCGAGGCTCCCGCGCCGCCCCGACGGCCATTGGCACAGCAGCGGCGGCGCTCCCCTCTCACGTGATCCGGGCTCGGGGAGCGGCGATTGGCTGCGCGCGGCGCGCGGTGTTTGATGGGAGAGCAGCTGGGCGGTCTGCGGCCCTGTCAGCGGCGGCGGGAGGCGGCGGAGGTGACAGCAGGATGCGCGGGGCAGGCCCGCGGCAGGTACGGGGGGGCTCGGCTCGGGTACCAGCGTATCCCGGGGCTCTGCGCTGGCCGGCCGGGGGCGGTTCCGCAGGCGGCCCGGATGCCCGGTGGTTGGGGGCCCTCCTTGGCCCGGCCCTCGTTCCTGGCCGCTCTGCCCGCGGGAGGGGGCGGCGCTCAGCTCAGCAGCTGGAGCTTCCCCCGCAACCGGCTTGACAGGCGGCCCCTCTCCCTGGCGCGCAGGCCTCGCGCCCTGCAAGAGCTGGGGGATGGGGGCGGGTCTCGCCCTGTTCAGGGGAACTAGTTGCTAGTGAGCTCCCAGTGCACGGGGCGGTGGGCTGTACGGGGCGGTGGGCGACCCGGGAGGCTGGGGGTGGAGGACAGGAGAGCTGCAGCTTGTCACAGCAGCTTGTTCTCCATGTGCCCGCACACGAGAATTGTGCCGTTGGGGGTGGCCCCGGGAAAGCCTCCATGGGTTTGTTCCTGCTTCTGTAAAGTACGGAGCAGGTGGCACAGTGTTATGGGAGCATGTTTCATAAGTGATTTGCAGACAAAAGATAGTTGCGAGTGGCTTACATTAGTTTCCAGTACAGCTATCTCAGTACAGGTAGCCTCACTGCAGCGTTGGTGTCTCTTGGCTAGTCTGTTTTCATGGGCAGCTGTAGAAAACTAGACTGAAAAAAGGTGTTTAAACAAACCACTCATTAATTCATCATCAAATGCATAGTCTACTAAGGACCGTTTTGCCAACCAGAGTGACCATGGTTGATGGTGTTGCACCAGACAGGGAAGTTCCCAGATCTGTCTCAATACTGTGAATCCAGTAAACTCCTTAATTGATCTTTGAAGTCCAGTTTGATCCTAAATCTGTTTTTAAAATAAGGGTTTACAAAACTTAACACCATCAGATATTTCCAATGACATTTAAAAAACTAATCAATAGAAAGATTTTTAGCAGATGTTCCTCTACTGGGTTTGCAACCCAAACACTGGCGCGTATGCTGATCTATAAGAACTTGAAATTTGAGGAGGAAAAAAACAACTAAAATTAAGTTCAGGAGTCTTTTTTCATTGCTCAAACTGAGATGCAAAAACAGGCAGCCATAATGGTGAAAAACAGACTTGATTTTAAGAATTTGTTTAGTAATCTAAGGTTTTTGCAACATAGGTAAGGAAACTTTTAAAAATGTTAACATTATAGTCTCAAAGGTCTATCCATCCTCAAGCTTGGATTGTTTCAGGCTGTTCCACACCTAATTGTCTTTTCTGCAGGGTTGGCTTTCTTGAATTAAAAACTTATGATGATACTGGCCAAAAATGCATGTCTAAAACTTAGACTCTTAAATCAACGACATAATATTGATTTAAGAACATAATTTAGGCACCACATTTGAACATGTTGTCAACTGTTTTTATGCAATCTTGACTATTTTTATAGTACTTGAAGATTAAAAAAAAAATCTGGAATAAATACCAAATCATATGTAAAAAGAAGAACAGGAGTACTTGTGGCACCTTAGAGACTAACACATTTATTAGAGCATAAGCTTTCGTGGACTACAGCCCACTTCTTCGGATGCATATAACAGAAGTGGGCTGTAGTCCACGAAAGCTTATGCTCTAATAAATTTTTTAGTCTCTAAGGTGCCACAAGTACTCCTGTTCTTCTTTTTGCAGATACAGACTAACACGGCTGCTACTCTGAAACAAATCGTATGTGATTCTAATTACAAAGCATATTGGGGCTTTTTAGTCAAGGCTATGAGGATTATATTTTGTTAGTTAATGGCGTCTTTAAAAGATTTTATTTGGATTTAGGGAATGGAATCAACTCAAAATGGGCTTCCACTTTTTTCATTTGTGGGTGTTGCATTGGCACTGAATTGTCAAGAGAAAGCATCGATGAATTATGGGCAAAAATGGTTTTCTGGTGAAAATTGCAAACAAAACTGTGTATGTCTACTATTGAAGGGGGGAAAAAAATCCTTGCAATCATCTAATAGAATCTCTTGCATACAGTTTTGTAAACTCTCAATAGTCATCCCTTTGTACATTATCTGAATTGAGGTGACTTTAAATCTTGAGAATATTGTGCGTAAGTGTTTCAGGTTGCAAAATTAAAGGATCTAAACTTGATTTTTGAGATCACCTGCATTTTACAAAACACCTATTTATTATAGCAGTGTGGAGAAACCTGAAGCTGAAAATATAGGACTTTCTATATCATTTTTTTTACGCCATTTTTTCTCGAAGGGCTGTTGGAGAGTCTGACACTTGTCATCTTTGCTTTAAGGTTAGCGTTCTATTAGAGTTCTCAAGTAAGACAAAATGCTCATATTTCAGTCTTACCTGAAGAAAGCGGTCTGTGTAAGTGCACAATTCTCGAAACAAGTTTAGCAGAACACCAAATTAAGCATGCAGATATTCCTCTGATTTTTGCTATTAGTTTTTCCTACAGTTGTTTTATATGGGTGGGATTTCCTGCTCAGTAGTTGACTAGTCAGCTTCCCTTAAAAAAAAGAAGAAAGCTTAATCTGAAACTTTCCCTTCTGCTTCATTCAGCCATTTAATTTTCACAACCATTCAGTTTTCACATAGATTTTCTTGATTACTATAAAGTAATGTACGGAAGCTAGTTTATCTGGTTGAAGGGATACTGTCAACATATTTTATCTCTCAATTTAGGAATTTACTGTAAAATGTTTCCACATGACTTTTATCTTAATTGATAAGGTTTGGACACTTAAATTATTGCTTTGCAGCATTGGGGTAGCAAATACTGCACATGGTAACACAGTTGCATTTTCAGTAATATGTGATGATGATTATGGAAGTAGGTTCTATCACAGCACTGACTATCACTCGGAGTGAAAAGAGGAAGTCTACTCGCGCTGGTGGAGACAGAGAGGAGGAAATAAGCTGTAACTTGCTATTGGCATGAGGGCATGAACAGGAAGCAGGTCTAGGGAAGGGGAAGTTTTGTCATGGTGGATATTAGGATGTTAATGGTGTATGTGTGAAGTAGAGTGAGCAAGACCCTTGGATATTGTATTTATGGAGGAGCTGGAGGAAACCTGTCCTATGGTTGTTTGTGAAAGAGCTGCAGAAGAAAGACACGGGGGAAGAAGAGTGGTACTGGAAGGGCTGGCAGATAATGTACTTCATGTGCAAACCAAAACAATGGGGAATGCTTAATCTTTCAAATATAATACATGTCATATAAATAAAGAGTAGTAAGTTTACTTTCTTCTCTAATTTAGCTGTTCATATCAGATATCATTCCTTTAAAAGTGTCTGATTTTTCAGAACAGTACACTAAAGCAAGTCACAGTTCTAGTCCATATGAACATGTGTCCATCCATACCTGCATTTTGGCAAGCCTGCTTTATTTCTCAGATATTTGCCAAATAAGTTTCAAAATAGATAAGTGATACTAATAAAGCTAAGTTAAATATAATTGTCTGTGTCCTTTTAAAGAATGCAAACTTTCTGGTGAGTAATTAGACACATTGTAGCTTAGCCCTTCTTATATGATTTTGCAACAAAAACAGCATCTCTTTTTAGAAGTGTTCAAGAGCAAAGTGTCTGCTCAGAATGGTCCAAATATATAATACATATTTGGCATACACAGCCTTGCATGTGACTGCCAAGTAGATGTTATATAAACTTAATGCTAAAAAAAGTTTTGTTAAAAACAAATATATTACTCTTTCATTGTGGTCTCTAGTAGTAGTAGTAGTAGTAGTGGCTATCCACAGGGTAAATCTAAGGGACCCAGAAAGTAGTTGTGCTTTTCCTTTTCTGCAGCTCACCCCTCTTGATTAGTCATTTGGCAGCAGCAAAGTTGATCTGTCCATCTGTTCTTTTGCATTAATTTGGCAGTAGTTCAAATACTGATTTTTCTTAGCATCTTTAAGGTTTGTTTTCAGAAAATAAGACTTAACTGCATTCTCATAGTTCTGGCTTCCATGGAAATTTTTGGTTTTCTTAAACGGTGAAGAGGTACTTAGCTAAAGCAGTATTAGCTGTAGTGAGTGCTATGTGTACTGTATTATTACCTTGTTCTGACAACCTCTTAAACTTTTTGAGAAGAAATCTGGATCTAGATGGAGTTTCTGTATCTTTAATTTGGCCAAAGATAATTAGTAATGGTAATTTAATACCTTTGCTAAAATGAAGGAATATTTCTCTTAGAGACAGTGTCACTTCAATTTCCTGAGTTCAAAACACTTGGTACAAACCCTTGTTTTGGGGTTGGGATTATTACCAGGGATCCTAGCTTTCTGTGATTAAAACCTCCCCCAAATTCTCTGATTAAAAAACTCCATAAAAATCCGTATTTTTCCACAATTAAAATGAAATGCTGAACTTTAGTTTCCCTAGCCATGATATATATAGGTCTATCTGTTGAACACAATGTTTTATTGATGGACTGTAGAACCCCATTTATCTGAGCCTCCATTATCTGCCGCTCTGTATCATCTGAACCATAGATGCCCAAGCCCCCGTCACGGTCAGCCCCGGGCGGCTGGTGGTGCCGTTAATACGGAGAGCTGGATAATGGAGGCTCGGATATATGGGGTATATATATAACAAGGAATTTGCATTTTTATAGAGAATCTTTAATTTTTACATTTTGTAAAAAAATCCCTTTGCCATGGAAAAACAAGGAATTTGCATTTTTATAGAGAATCTTTAATTTTTACATTTTGTAAAATTTTATTTTTTTACAAAATATAAAAATTAAAGATTCTCTATAAAAATGCAAATTCCTTGTTTTTCCATGGCAAAGGGATTTCTAGAATCCCTGGTTATTACAAATAGGAATTTATAACTTAATTTTTTCTCACTTATTTATAGATAAAAATTCTAAATTGAGGGACTAAAATGGTAGCAAAATATACAATCTTTCATCTGTAATTCTGTCTGAACCCATCTCAGCAAGCTCGTGGCTGAAGGTTGTTGGTTTATGATTGTTGTTCATTGGTTTCTGAAGTAATTTGGTGGCTATTCCATTTTTCAGTGAAGCATCCATATAGTAAAAACTACATTACGATTTTTGCTGATTGGAATCCTTGTCAGTCTTGGCAGACAGCTGGACCTGGAGACTGACCTATCGCTGCACCATTGCACTGCTGCTGGCTGGAATGTATATCTTCTGGGCACAAAGAGAGGCCAATCTGACACATCACAAGAGTATTCAATTCACATTAAATTTGAATTTGACAAGTTCGATTTTTGTTTTTAATGTGGTCTGAATTTTAAATAATCTGCAGTTGGAATTAATTTATGGCTAATTAAATTATATAGCAGTTAAATAATTCTCATTTGCTAAATTATAACTTTTGTGGCACTTAAATGAAGACAAGGGCTTGGGTCTCTGACTACTAGTTATTTTGTATTTTGCTTGTAGATAGATATCTCCAAAGCAAAACATAAACTTGCCCACAATCTTGGTAGGCTAATTAGTAGAATGACTTAACAATACAAAGAGGTTCTAAAACTGGTGGCTGGAGTGCAGGATAATGTGAAGAATTTGAAGATGATAGACACCTGTATGCAGTGTTATTTAATTTATATTCTAGAATGCAATTGTGAAATATCACCTTAAACATCTTAAAATGTACTTTTGGCGTATTCTTAAACAGTAATGCTTTACTTCTAGCTGTGAATTCCATCAGAAGATTGTTATAAGCAACCAAAACAACCAATTTCCACAAATTAAAAAATGGGTGGACTAGTGTCCCGATGGAGGGTAAGTAAATCTTATTACAATATAAAAATCTTTACAGGTAGTTCAGAAGACTAAAATACTTTGATATGGTTTAGAATAGAATTCTGTATTTGTTCATGATACTTTGGTCAAAAAACTGTTCTGAATCTGAAATTTCTAGTAATTCATCTATGTGCTGATTGAAAACCAATAATCAAATAAACATTGGTCATGCTACCCAAATGGAAAACTGCATAGCTGAACAGGCCTGAATTCAGAATCCACTTAGGGCATGTCCTTACTAATAGGCTGTTTTTGTGCCTTACTTAACTTTTACTGCTTTCTTTGTCCTGCCTTTGGACCTTGCTTTGAATTTGTAACTGTTGGAAATGTGGTGAAGATGGCTGTCACCTCAGGGATTCCTTCAGACATCCTTTTCTAGAGCTAAATAATCACTTAACATTGGATCAGGACAGATGTAGCAGTACTTACAGGTTGTAATTTGGTTGCTGTTCCTGAGCCTTTTAACCTAGGTACTAGTGGATAAATCAAGGAGAGGATCATCCTTTATCTGTCTAGAGACTTAAATATATGTACTAGTATAAGAGCACCTACCAAATATTTAAAAATAGAAGTGAGTCTCCCTTCCTTCCCAGGCTGAAGGAAAACTAGCATCTTTAGTTTACACGTTTGTTGTTGGAATGTGTGAGGAACTTATGGCAAAGTTAGGTCAAAGACATGAATGGTGAAGTCTGGTCATTCTTGCCTCTTGCAGGAGTAAGTTCCATAGTCCTAGGTCCTTCTTGTTTTTTTGGCATATCTAAGTGTGAAAGCTTCCTTTACAAAACACTTGTAAACTGCAAACTATTTAAAGCTAACCTGAATTCACTGTATATTTCTCAAATGTGTTGAATGCCCAAAGCATGTCTTGAGTTTTTAACCAAATAATACCGCATAAATCTTGTCCTCTAAAGATTTAACCTGTCAAATTTGTATAATGGATGTTTTACCAGGCCCTTAAAGGTAAAATATAACTTTCCTGCTCATGTTGTGCCATTTGGCTGACACCTCTACTTGAGTTTGAGGGGGACCCAAACAAGATAATGAACAGGTTGAGATGTTGCTTCATTTCTCAAAACTCAGTGTTTTGGAAGATGGAATCTATTCCTGAAAGGAATCCTCCTGGGAGGGGAAAATATTCTGTTTGCATTTGCTAGTAATTTTTATTTAAAACAAATACACACAGGCAGTCATGTTCACATGACTTTTTTGTTGGAATGTGAGGTTGGTCTCTGCTATTCACATCTCCTCCCTTGTTTCATTCATCTCTTCATTTATATATTTCCTTTCCTTCTTTCCTCTCCTCATTTATTCCATATCCTACATTCATAATTGTCTCTGATCCTACACAGGTGTTCTGCCTTTCACATGTACTCTCTCTTTCAATCTTCCTCCAAGTCTGGTCTACCTCCCTCCTTATTGCCACTGTATGTTTACACCAGATCACTAGCACTGGAAGTGGGTAGAGGATAGGTGAGTCCCAGAGAACAATGAAGGGCAGCTCTCCTGCACAGCAGAGTTCTTAATTTGTAAAGAAAAAGTTGCCGGTGCTCAAGCAATTGGGTGCCGGAGCTTAACCAATTTTTTTTTTACTTTCATAACTGATGCAGCAAGCTAAGTTTCTGCTAAGCTGTGCGGCAGTGCAGCTGCCTATTTAGCGCTGCACATGCACTCAGGACTGCAGTGGGGAGAGGTGCCTCTCCCCAAGCCCCGGACCTGCCAAAGCGCTCCTCCTCCAGCCCAGCCCTGGACCTGCTGCGGCTGGGGGACAGGCACCCCTCCCCCGGCCTGCCCCGAACCTGATGCGGCCAGGGGACAGGTGCCCCTCCCCTGGCCCTGACCCAGCCTGGCCCCGAACCTGGTGCGGCTGGGGAACAGGTGCCCTTCCCCAGCCCGCCCTGGAACTGTGGTGCTGTGGGGAGAGAGCTGGGGTGGAATCCTCTCTATCCTCACCGTAGCCCGGGGGAGACCCACTGCACTCCAAACTCCTCATCCTAGCCCCACCCCAGAGCCCGCACCCCCAGCCAGAGCCCTCAGCCCTCTGCACCCCAACCCTCTGCTCCTGCTCTGAGCCCCTCAACCCCAGCCCCACCCCAGGGCCCTCAGCCCTGTGCCCTCACCCCCAGCCGGAGCCCTCACCCCCCATCGCACTCCAACCCTTTGCCCTAGTCCTGAGCCCCCTCCCACACTCCAAGCCCCTTGGCCCCACCTTGCCACATTAATTTTATTATGTGCACCAATATGGAGGTGATGTATCACACGCCGCCTCCATATTGGTGCACATAACAAAATTCATTCCGCACATGAGTGGGAAAAATTAGAGGGAACACTGGCAGCAAGCCCAGAGGTGTCGAGGCTATGAACTGCTAAGCCTGGAGGTGCCAGGGATCAGCCCTGGAAAGTCCTGGCACAAATTAGGCACTGAAACAGGTTCTTCTAAGGCAGTGTTTCTCAAACTGTGGGTTGGGACCCCAAAGTGGGTCTCAAACCCATTTTAATGGGGTCGCAAGGGCTGGTGTTAGACTTGCTGGGGCCCAGGGCTGAAGTCCAAGCCCCACCACCCGGGGCAAAAGCTGAAGCCCGAGAGCAGGGCCCAGGATTACAGGCCTTTGTCCCCCTATCCCCCTGAGCGGTGGGGCTTGGGCTTTGGCCCCCCAGCCGGGGCAGCTGGGCTTGGGCGGGCTAAGGCTTCGATTCTCTGTCCTGGGGTCCTGTAGTAATTTTTATAGTCAGAAGTGGGTTGCGGTGCAATGAAGTTTGAGACCCCCTGTTCTAAGGGCATGTCTACACTACAGACTTAAGGCGACCTATGTTAGGTCAACTTCCAGCCCCACAGTAATTAGTGTGGACACCAACCACCACAGTACCCTCCTTCTGTTGGTGGTGTGTGTCCTCACCAGGAGTGCTTCTACTGACTGTGGGGCGGGGTTGAGAGCCAGGGTTCTCAGCTCTGCACAGCTCTCCACCAGGAGCAGAGGCTAGCTGCCCGGGCTTCTCAGATCTCTGAGTGGGGAGCTGGGCAGGTGCAGCCTGGCAGAGAGCTGGGGGCAGCTGGGCTCTAGCTGCCTGGCTTTCTTGTCAATTTCAGGACTAGGTGCTGGAGCCCTGAAATTGACAAGACAGCCAACAGCTAATGTAAGTAACGCAGTGTCTACACCAACATAAGCTCTATACCTCTCGTGGAGGTAGAGTTATTATGTTGGTGTAGTAGGGCATTTACATCGGCGGGACAAGGCTGTATTGTGTACACGGACATAATTAGGTCGACATAAATTGCCTTATGTTGATCTACCCTGTGTAGTGTAGATCAGGTCTTTGAGTGCTTGGTCTGCTGGCAGCGTGCACATCCTTGTTAGTGTGTGGCTTAGGAGAGGAGCCTTTATGAGCAGCTAATGTCAGCAAAAAATGTGCATGGAAAGTGGGTAACTAGTCAATTAAAATGAGTAGGTTTTAGATACTACAAAGTAAAAGTACACTTCATTTTTTGGTTTTGAATGAAAACCTCTTAATCTGTTATCACATACGAGTACTGCTGGCAGGATGTTGTAAATAGAATAACTTGGGTATCACTGTAGAGTTCAATGACACCTCTTTTCCCTCCCTTGTAAGCAGGCAAAGCCTTCGACAGTAGAAGTGTTGGAGAAAATTGATAAGGTATGTATTTTGCCTCCGCACTATTCCTGTTTTGTTTACTTTAGAAATAGACATCTAACATCTGGGCAGTTTTTTAAAATCACCAAGCTTTTACAAATATGGGAGGAGAGGAGGTTATATACATTTTAATTAGTGTTGGCAGAACGAATTTTGTCATATATCAATGTTTTAAAATTTTTATTTATTTAAAACTATAAAGTTGCAGGAAGTTATCGGCGGGGGATCAGGTAATTATTTAATCCTCAGTAGACAGATTCAGAAAGTTAAAGCTTTATAACCATTAAAACACACATTGTCAACATCACATGTCAATATATACAAAGTAAATATCATTAAATCAAAATCTAAGTTCTTAAGCAGCGTTTTTTTACTTTGCCTGTCTGTCTATTTTGATTATTATCAATGGAAATAATTTTTTGTTGGTTTGTGTGCATACGGTGAAATCGATGTTTACTGACATTTACTGATAAAGAAAATCAAATCCTTCCAAGCATAATTGTAATGGCATTAAAATTATAATGGTGCTGATTCCAGACTTGAGCACTGATGTACTAGAGACTTGGAGTTTCAGGAGAAGGAAAGCAGAGAGCAGAACCTCAAAATTAAATGACTTTGAACATTAGTACTTCCTCAAGAAATAGCTACATAAGTTATAGTCTAAGTCTACATTTCAACAACTTGTAAAGTGAATGAATGTTAAATTGGCCTGGTTGGAGAATCTAATTAAGGCTAATGGTTAGGCCTTCATTTTTATATTCTCCAAAAAATGTCACTAGAAGAAAGTCCTATTCATTTGGCTCATTCGAAAAGCTTCAATGTAGGTTTGTTGCAACTCTTATTATGGTGGTAAAATAAGACCATGGACAGAATAATTAAAGAGACAGTTCAGTGATCTTGTATGATTCTGGTCAGCATTTGTGAAATATGTCTGTTTATGGAGCAATGACCTGTTTTGAAATATCCAGTCTGTATTTTCATTGGCCAAATTAATGAAGGTGTGGGTAATCCTGTTGTCACTAAAAGCACAAAGCACTGCTAGATCATTTATCCATCTGACAAAAAACCCAAAACAAAACAGTGTTAAAATATTCAGGACTGTATTATTAATGGGTGGGAGTACTAAAAAATAAAAAATAAAAAATTGAAGTGGCTGCAATAGCTCAGCTTTGTCACAGGAGGAGATGGTACTATTAAAATATAAAAACATATTTTGAAGTTTCACAGATGCCTGTTAAAGCAACAGTACTCAAACTGGACTGCAGAACACTTTGCTGTGAACACAAAAAGCTGCCTGGTCCCATGATGCTGGTTTTCCCCCTTGTTTCCAAGTTACTAAATTCCATTAAGACAGCTAAAAATACATATATTCTTAATATCAGGGGGTAGCCATGTTAGTCTGTATCTACAAAAACAACAAGGAGTCTGGTGGCACTTGCATCTGAAGAAGTGAGGTTTTTACCCACAAAAGCTTA